TGAGGCTGAGGCAGGCTGAGGCTGAGGCTGAGGCTGAGGCAGGCTGATGCTGAGGCAGGCTGAGGCTGAGGCTGAGGCTGATGCAGGCTGAGGCTGAGGCAGGCTGAGGCTGAGGCCGAGGCTGAGGCAGACTGAGGCTGAGGCTGAAGCAGGCTGAGGCTGAGGCTGAGGCAGGCTGAGGCTGAGGCTGAGGCAGGCTGATGCTGAGGCAGGCTGAGGCTGAGGCTGAGGCTGATGCAGGCTGAGGCTGAGGCAGGCTGAGGCTGAGGCCGAGGCTGAAGGCAGACTGAGGCTGAGGCTGAAGCAGGCTGAGGCTGAGGCTGAGGCAGGCTGAGGCTGAGGCTGAGGCAGGCTGATGCTGAGGCAGGCTGAGGCTGAGGCTGAGGCTGATGCAGGCTGAGGCTGAGGCAGGCTGAGGCTGAGGCCGAGGCTGAAGGCAGACTGAGGCTGAGGCTGAAGCAGGCTGAGGCTGAGGCTGAGGCAGGCTGAGGCTGAGGCAGGCTGAGGCTGAGGCAGGCTGAGGCTGAGGCGAGGCTGAGGCCTGAAGGCTGAGGCTGAGAGGCTGAGGCTGCAGGCTGAAGCAGGCTGAGGCTGAGGCTGAGGCTGCAGGCTGAGGCTGAGGCAGGCTGAGGCTGAGGCAGGCTGAGGCTGAGGCTGTGACTGCGACTGCCGTTGCCACTGCGACTGTCATCGCGAATGCGACTGCGACTGCGAGAACAGCAGAATTCTACAACTGGATTCTCATCTGAATCTTAATGGGAATGCTTCCAGGATGCTCCTACACATCGCTGTTAGGTTGCTTTGCCGGGATAATCAAGGCATTAGGTCGTGGTAGTTTGTGAGTGCAGGAGGGAGGAGGAGGAGGAGGAGGAGGAGGAGGAGGAGGAGGAGGAGGAGGAGCAGGAAGGCTCCACAAACTCGTATCCCCCGCGCGCGAGGGGGGGGCGGGCGCCAACAGCCATGGCTTGGTCAGGGCACAGCGCGTCTGTCTGGTGGGCGAAACCCCTGTGTGACAACAGTGACGAATGGCAAGCAAACCCATGGTCCAAGCGAGCACAGCAAGCACAAACAGCTAAGTACTTGGTCGCCTGAAGGCTAGTTGGTACGACACTGCAGTGGCAAGCTGGGTACATCAGAGAACTACAGGCCCAGCTCGCATGGTGGTAAGAATGGTGGCAGCAGTAATGTGACACCCACTGGGAAAATATCCTGCTCAACGCCCTCCGCGCTGAGCCATCACAGCGCGCCGGGCCACAATAAGGCGCTGGGTTACAAGAAGGCTCTGGGCTACCAGAGCACGCGGGGCCTCGTGAAGGCGCTGGGCCGCAAGGACGCGCCGGGACAGGAGAACGCAATGGGCCGCGAGGCGGCGACCGGCTGCGAGAGCGCGCCCGGCCACGAGGAGGCGCCGGGCCAAGAGAGGACGCTGGGCCACCAGGGCACGCTGGGCCACGAGAGCGCGCTAGGCCACGAGAGGAGGGCGCTGGGCTACGAGAACGCGCTGGGCCACCAGGACATGCCAGGCTACGAGAGCACGCTGGGCCGCGGAAGCACGCCAGGCCGCGAGAAGGGGCGCTTGGCTGCGAGAAGGCGCTGAGCCACTGAGCGCGCGGGGCCACCAGGACACGCTGGGCTGCGAGATGACGCTGGGCCACCAGTACAGGCTGGGCCACGAGAGCGCGCTGGGCCACGAGAAGGGGCGCTGGGCTGCGAGGGCACGCTGGGCCAGGAGAACACGCTGGGCCACGAGACGGCACCGGGCTACGAGAAGATCCTGATCAACCAGAGCACGCTGGGCCACCGGGACACGCTGGGCCACGAGAAGACGCTGGGCCACCAGGACCAGTACTGCGTGCAGGGAGTTTGGTCCGGATCGTCGGACTTACGAGTCAGCAGAAGTTCAACGGGATCGATGGCCACGCCAGTAGATGGGCTGTCAAAGTAGAACGCCATCAGGTCATGTCCATTCAGTGCTCAGTCGATCTGCTCTTACCCGTCGCGCAAGCAGACTGGGGGTGGGGGTGCTGACCAGTCGCCGGAAGCAGCCGCCAAAAACAACCAAGATCTGGTCCATGGAGGGTCCCGCGCCGACGGGCGGCACACCAAACAACACAACAGCGACGAGCCCGTCCCGAGGTGACAGCCTGACAGCCTCGACGTGCTTGGACCCGATACCACCAAGGAGGCCTTGACGAGCAGTTTCATGGACTTTGCCCTCCAGCAGGGCCGCGCTGACTCTAGAACGAGAATGCATACCGCTGACAGCCTATATGACCAATGTGCAGGCTTTCGAGGAGGCCCCAGCTCAGCGTCTTCTTCGCACAGCTCGACGAAATGGGCACAAATACCTTCCTGCAGATCTACGAGAAGATGTGCTGAGCCATCCAGTGAGGAAATTCCTAGGAGTAGCAAGCCATCCGGCGTTTTGCTCCAGCGCGGACCCCAATTGTGTTCTTTGCTTCGCCCCAGGAACTCGTCGTAAGCACTGCTTTGGTGTTCT